AGTGCCTTCCCAAGAAGATCTGTACCTGCGGAGCAAGTGGAAGAGGCTAGAGGAAAGGACAAGGCAATGAAGCAGGATCGTCAGGACCAAGTTAATGCATCGAAGTATAAGATACCGTCAGAGTTTCAAATTGGAGATGATGTCATGTTACGAAATTACAGAAAGTCCTCCAAGTTTGATCCTATATTCCTTCCAGAGCATTGTGAGATTGTTGAATGCTCAGATGATGGTCGATTCCTTACTATCGAAAGAAAGCGTGATGGGAGGATCTTTAAAAGACACGCGGATGACGTCAAATGTTACTACGGACCGCATGACACAGTTATGGAAAGGGGCGTAATATCGGATGAAGCTATCGAAAATGGGGAATGGCATAGATGGTTTGAGCAGTGTAGACCCAAGGTAGATGACAGTTATGAAAGCGGAAATCAAGATGAGGAAGATAAACAACAGACTAACCACGTAGAACCAGGGCATGAGAATGGAGGCGAAGTAAACAGTGCAAACGACTGCCCTGGGTCTTGCATTCCTCGTCGATCACAAAGGTTACGAAGACCTAACCCCAGATATATTGACTATGAAATATAACATTTCACAATGATGGGTATATTTAAGGACTAACATAACTGCGTCATTATTATGGACTTTAACATTCAATTATTTATATTATATACATATAATTGTTTTCTGTTAAAAGGGGGGATAAGGTACCCTTTTTTTATATTTAAATGAAGTATTTAGTGGTATCATGTACATATACCGCGGGACGGTGAGAACGGGTATTCAAGTATGGCGGACGAAAAATTGTTAGATATTACTTGATGTAGTGTGAGAAAAGATTGATGAAATTGAACTTATATTACTTCGGTGTTGTTGAGCACTCTGTGGAATTGCTAATGGGTGTCTATTAGCGATAATGCAAAAGCTCACTTCCCTTGTGATCGTTTAAGCACTCTGGCCCCATTACGCTCTGCGCATGTCTGGATGCGTTGAGTCACCGTGTTGACCACATGTCTTGTGTTGTACCACATGCCAGACATATATATATATATATATATATGTCTGGCACGACGTCACAAAATCACACCAAGAGCAAAGCACGAAAGAGACTAGTGACGAACCGCACGAAAGAGCGATCGCAGCTTTGTCAGTATTTCATAGAGTTTCGCTTGTTTAATTGCTTGATCGTTCATCCAAATTGAAATTACCTATGCGTTGTGATATTATAATGTTTATCGTGTGATTGCGCCTCCATGTGGAATCTAAAATCTACCAGTCTTCAAGTACATGATTATGAACACACCACGTATGTCTGACAATATATTCCGATATTCGAGATCCTGTATTGTATTAATATTAAAGGTCAGACAAACGTAGGCCTATTTTGGATTTTTTGGTTGCTGAAGATATTCATCCCGAGCGTGGAACTAAAGTCTGGTTGAAGCTTTGGACGTTTACACCGTTGGCGTATATTAACGTTTTGTCATTTTATATACTGTATGTTTGAGTACTTTTAATACCCGTTTACCGTACCTACCCAAGTAACACACGTATACGATGGCGTGCGTTCTGATCACTGAGGTTCTGATCAATTCTTTTTACATGGTGTGTTTTGATGGCGGTGTATGCGGTGTATTCGACCTTTCCGCTTTGCTCGTGGACAACGTTAATTGAAATAACTGTATGTCTACTGACACTTGGGTACGGTTTATTATTTAAACGGTTAAAACTTTCAACGAGGTATGGATGCAAACGATCTACAACATTTAGAATAATTCAGGTAAGGATGGTTTTATTTCTTTCTGTTGACATACATGAAGGCGTTGAACTTTTTAGTATTCGATATAGCTAGGATATTTCATGAGTTTACAGCCCACTATTAATCGATTGGTGAAAACAACATTTAAGGTCATTGAATGTCCTAATACAAGGAGTCAATTTAAAATCAAAGTGTACTATAATAAATACCTTTATCTTTCTATGTTTATGTAGCGGTTTGTCAAGGCTATAAATTCGTAGTTACCCAAAATTTTCAGTACATAAAAGTGATTATATCTGCAAGTTTAGTTTATATATTCAGTGTTTATTTATCGATGTAATGAACCGGTTTAATAAAGTTGCGAA